GCCCAAGCATATCTGCGCTCCGATGATGCCGGAATGCAACGAATCGCCAGAGCCGCCACGGTAGTGAATTAGAAGACCGAAAGCTACCACGAAAAGACAAGTTCCGGCGACGATGAAAGGTTTCAAGCGGCGGACCTTGAATACAACACCACCAAGGATCAATCCGGTGATTACCGAGGAGAAGCTGTACAAAGAGCTGATGCGAGTTGCGCTCTTTACTGATTCATCAAATGCGACGACTAGTACAGTGTACAGGAAGTCGCCTTGCATGGTCCATGCAAAGTTCAAAGTGCAAGCAATACCTAAAGCACCCCAAACCGCACGATCCTTCAGTAGATGGAACGGGAGCATTGGATGAGGTGCTCTGCGTTCCCAGAGGACAAAGGCGGGGAGGCACATGAATCCGATGATAAGAGGAGCAATGACTTTGGCAGTCCCCCATTGCGATTGCGCGCCACCTGCGATGGTGAAAGGCTCGTGGTTGGTCAGCAAATCGGAATCTCGTCTGGTGCAAACACATGCCGACTTACAGTCAGAATGCAGCCGAATACCGCAATAAGCAGCACGACGCCGGGGACGTCCATTTGCCAAAAGAGAGTGACTAGCAAATTCCTGGTACCGCCATGAACTTCGTATGGTGTTTGGTATGCATCGAATGCGCCGGCCCTTTTAGCTTGTCGGCTAGACCACATGAGCGAAGCAACTAGAGGGATACAACACACTGTGTATATGATGCACCACATGCCTACCCCCCATCGCCAAGTGGTATGACTAAGCACAGCTTGACTTACATCGCCGCTGACCCAAGTATTGATCTACCGAACATCAGAAACAAGCTAAACCGGAGCGTACGGTTATATTGCTTACCAGAAATGGAACGGCAGGTATGTATGAGAAGAAGAGTCGAGATCGAAGGGAGGTGATGTCGGCTATGATGATTTCGATGAGCACGATGATGGTCGTGTAGCCAATCTGTAGGATACCCGTTAGTATTGGTCTTGTCCGTTTGGCGTTGTTGCAGCACGCACTTGGTAAAAGACTGCGCCTGCGGCGAAGGACTCGACATTTGAACTGACGGATTCAATGACGGTACCTTTGGTCGTGTTAGTACGACTGCCAGAGCACAACGCTAAGCTCCCAGTTTGGTGTGTGCATACCGATGATGTAAAAGAGCATAGAGAGTATGACGACTTCTATGCGGCCAAAGACATCGGCTGTGACCATCGAGTTAGTTTCTCATATCTTGATCGGTGTGAAGACTCAACTTACCAATCTTAGCCGCAGTAGGCTGTTGAGCACACAGTGAGCATGGGTTTATACGTGGTAGCAGACTCTAAGACTTACCTGCGCAGCAGCGGCGATGACGCTCCTCAAGACATCTTGGTCAATGTTAGCGTTGGTGACTCGGAATGACTACAGATTTCACCAGACATACTAATGGTAGCCAAGGTGGAATGCTGTTGGAATCCCGCAGTGGCATATGGCTGGTAGGTGTATCGGAGCGTCCCATCCAAACCATACGCATACGCGATGAGGAAGATGCCGAAGAAGATGCAGCAGCGGTTGATCAAGGACGTGTGCGCGTTGAGGGCTTCGATGCGTGCGACACCCGGAGACTTTGCGCCTGGTAATGCGGTGGGGGAGGCTAGATCGGCGCCGGTTGCGGTTGTGTTGAATAGCGCAGTTTTGCCAACGTCCAAGTTGTGGTGATGCGACATGGTGGTTGGTGGATTGGTGGGCACAAGTGTTGCGAGGAGATGATGTGCAACAACGGTTATTTACCAGCGCCGGGCGGCAGGTGAAAAGAATGCGGGCTGCATATTTCATGTGATTTCCCAGTGCGGAACGCGTTACTACTGTACAAGCAAACGGACAGCTTCTCGGTGCTGGATGGAGCATAGTGCGGCTCGGGACAGCTGATTGATAAGATTAGATGCAAATTCTCGCTGGCTTGGCGTGACCCCCCGGCAACTCGGAAAGCCTTGGCGGCGCCCAATGCCGACGTGTAAGCGCGGGCGTACGGGCTGCTGGCGGAGGTGAAGGCGTCGAGGACGATGGGTGCTGCGGCGAGCGACGGAGGCTGGTGCTGACAGTGCCGAGGGGCTGCGTGTGTGAGACTGCAGGCGGTGCGTCGAGGCAGTACTTAGCAGACGCTGCACGCAGCAACATCGAGCAGCCATGGCCCACGCGTACTTTGGCGCGACAGACGACAGCGTAGACTCGGGGCTCGGCGCGGACCTCGACGACGGCCAGCCACAGCAGGCGCGCAGCAGCAGCGAGGAGAAGGACAGCCTGACGCCGGCGCAGAGCAGGCGCAAGGCTCAGAACAGGGCAGCGTACGTGTCCCGCCCCCGTCCCCCATCCAGCGCCCCCGTGCTCATGCCTCTCCAGCCAGCGCGCCTTCCGCGAGCGCAAGGAGCGCCACGTCAAGGAGCTCGAGACGAAGCTCTCGGCCCTCGAGTCCAGCACCCACTCGCTGCAGTCCGACAACGACCGCCTCAAGGCCGCCCTCGACCGCGCCCGCACCGAAAACGACATCCTGCGCGCCACCACCCGCCGCTCCCCCTCGGCCTCGCGCCCCCTCTCCGCCACGTACCCCTCGCCGGGCGCCTATCTGCCCGTCCACCACCATGGCCACGACGGCGACGACGACGAAGAAACAGCCACGGGCTACCGTGTCGAGTCCCTGACCAACGCCACCGTCGTGAACACGGCCGCGAAGGAGCATCCACGCACCCGCGCCGGGGCGAAAGAGGTCCCCGCTGCCCAGGCCTGGGACCTCATCCAGCAACATCCGCTCGTCAAGCAGGGTCTGGTTGACGTGGCCGACGTGTGCGAGCGCCTGAAAGGCTCCGCCAAGTGTGACGGCCACGGCCCCGTCTTTGAAGAGAGCACCATCTGGCGAGCAGTCGACGAGTCGCGCCGTTGCGGCGGCGATGAGCTCATATGATTGCTGCCTCCATACCCCTTGCGTCTTTTACTATTCTTTTGCGCTGCGACGCTGGCTTTGCGTTTTGGGCCTTGGGCGCTCGGCGTCCGGTGGCTGCACGAGCTTTCCCACAAGACGGGCGCTCCAGTGTTGGACAGATGGCGATGAGAGAACACACTTTTTTTTTAGATAAGGCGAGAATTCTATTACGCCATGTGCTTGTTTGCCCATGCCTCAGCCTGCCACGTAGCAAGTCGACTCTCAGAAATCCAAATTTCTTCATCTTGACTTGTTCACCACCAACACTCCCGTGTCCGGAGAACATGACTCCCCACCTTCAACACTCGTACGTCAAACCAGCATCGTAGAACAGGTCTACCAGCAAGGGGTCAGTCCACGACCAGAATGTATCTACTCAACACCGGTCGAGGCGCCACAGTATCTGATACGTCCATGCGAAGCGAGCATCCGCCATCGGCAACTACTGCCTGGAAAGCCAACACATGTCTCAATGCCAGACGTTCCTCGTACGGCGCGTACAAAGCAAATCTCCGGGAGACAGCTTTGAGGTCGACGTCGTGGACGTCAACAACCCTACCAGGCAATAAGCCGTCACAATACCCAATCAGTGCGCCTTCAGTCCCAGTCGCTATCGTCGTCGTCTCCTGCGGTATTGCCTTGTCTTATCCTGCTAGGGTTGGCGTCCTCGTCGTCTCTCTTCTTCTGGAGGCGCGAGTCTCCTAATTTGACGGCGCCAACATCAACGAGAAGCCTTTCCAGATCTGTCATAGCAAGTTAGCACACCGTAATGCAGGACTGCCGTCAGGAGTTGAGGGACGCGACCCACCCTGTACACTTGTCCTCGGTCCCTTCAATTGCATCAGCGTAACAATCTGCCTCTTGATATCCCCGTCCTTGTAGATCAGCACCGTCGGCGTGTTCTTATCCGGGTACCCCTCGATGCAAAGATCCGCCCTCATCTGGCAAAACTTGACATCGCCAAATCTCTTTGCCAACTCCCTCCAATGCTCAATCATGACTCTTGACTCGGTGTTTGTGCCCGTCGAACTCGTCAACAAGACCAGCACATATGCCTTTTTGCTCTCTTCGGTAACGTCGGAAGAGTAGTCGGGTTTCTGGATATGATAGACTTGGTTGTACACCGAGGCGGTATTTATCGATGCAAGCTCGGCCATGCGCTTTTGGCGGTACGAGTCGAGAAAGTCGTCGTCTTCTTCATCCTCTAGTTCGGCCAGCTCGTCCATGTCTTTGCCCTCTAAACGGTTTTCGTGTGCGAGTTCGCGGGCCTGCTCAAGCGCCTCCTGAATCATGGGTGTCGGCGATGGCGGCTTCTCGGGGATGACGCCATGTTTCCTGAGAATATCGTTCCTAACGCGCTAGTTTCAGTACTGTGCCTTTCGCTATCACCTGATGGTGGTTTGACTCACCATTCCGTGTCGGCGTTGGGGTCGTCGATTGGGACGTTGACGGGCATGTCCGGCATCTGCATGATGGTGGTGTGGAGGAAACGCCTGTTGGGAAGATTCGGCAGAGTGTGCAAAGTGCAGGCGGGTGGTAACAAACGTTTCTTGTAGACGTCTGGTGCCTGAAACGTCAGATATTTCCAACAGCGCGAGGCTCCGTCATGGACCCTGCCAAGCTGCCCCGCCCCCACCTCAGCTCCACGCGACGCCACCCGTGTCTCTTCTGGAAGCTGCGTCTTAGCTCCTCCATCTCGGTTACAGATATCTGCCATAATTCCTCTTTGTATGTAGCAAGCACGCTGTATTCACAGGCAATCTCCACTATATGTGAGAGTAAATTACGATCCGACTCATCCGTATAGATTCCCACCGCGTACTTGATCATAATCTTTCCCCGTACTTGTTACCACGAGCTCGAATGCCCAACTTCTCCGTGGTTTGACCAACACCCTTTGCTGCCTCTTTCATTCCCTCTTATGTATGGTACATGTCAAGAATGCAAAACCCGATTATTTACATCTGTTTGGTCATCCTGACTTCGCACATGCACTCCCTTACTCACTTTTACCCTCCTCATCTGCACGGTCTTAAAAGAACTTCCCGTTGCTGCCATTCTCGATGCTGCTATGCTCAACCACAGCCTCATCATCGTGCTCGTCGAAAGCACCAGGTCTATCGATGTTTCGTGGAAGAGGTCGGTCAAACGCGTCGAAGCGACGACCCTGAAACTTGGCCTTGATCCAGAGGAACCCGATGCGGAGAGCGCAAGCAGCAAAAGCCCAAAGAAGACCTCCGAAGGGCGCTGCTACGAAAGCACCTCGTCGTTGTTAGCAATCGTCATGGGCGCCGGAATAGCTTGCACTCACCGAAAGCGCTCCAGTCATTTGCGTACAATCCACCTTCCAACAACAGCAAGTTCCCGGCTAGAGTGACATCGCCATTGTAGTAGACAAGCCCAAACAAGAAGATGGTGAAGATACCCCCAAGGCCTCCAATAACAAAGTCGAAACCCCGGTAGAAGTAAAACTTGTCGCTCAGCCCGATGACGAGGCAAGGTACAACCGCTGCACTGACAAGATCACTGATTAGGAAAATTTGCAGGATATCGGGACTGCGCAGAGCCACGACGACAACAGGGAAGATGAGCGCCACAACGCACGCGCGGATGATCCAGATGTTGAGTTTGTTGCGGAAGAAATCGTTGCTTCCCGTGCTGATCATGGCCGATTGGAAAGAGTCAAATGCAGCAGTGGAAAGCGAGATGGTCATGACGAGAACAACACCGACAACCCACGCAGGCAGCCGTTCTAGCAACAAGAAGAAGGCCAAAGAGCCGTTTTCTTCGTCGCCAATGGTATACGCACCAGACCAGGCTGCAAGCATTCCTCCCACGCCTAGCAGAGTGAGGATGATCAGTACGCCCATACTGGCGAGTGAGACACCAATCCAGAGATCCCTGTCCGTGCGAGCGGCGAAAGTACGCATCCAGAAGCCTGAGAGGAAGAAGTCGTTTGACAAAATGGCGACAGGGAGGATGTAGATAAGTTGCCAGCCTAGGAGGCTGGATTCGAGGTATCGGGATTGGTCGATGAGGGAGCGGTCGATGTCTGTTTCTACGCCGACAGCAATGACGCCCATGATGATAAGGCCGATGACCATAACGCCCTGGATATTGTCGGTTACGAAAGAGACTTTGAAGCCCCCGAGTGCTGAAGTAAAGTTTTAGTTGATGCTCGTAGTTAGAGTTGCAACAAATCTTACAGGTGTAGATGGTAGTAACAGCGCACTCCACAATGACAACCGGAAGACCGTTCAAGCCCGTGAGTAGAGTGACGATTTGCTGCAAGGCCGAGAGCTCAGCGACCATGTACAAAAACATGGTGATGAGCGTGCAGACGCTCAGAAAGAGTCCTCCGATAGCTCCGTAGCGCTGCCTTGTCCATTCTGTCAGCACGAAGCCTTCAGGACACTTCCGTCTAATGATGGGACCCAACGCGCCAAAGACCAATAAGGGCAGGGACGATGATAGCGCGTAAACCAAGAGACCCTGTACACCAGCAATGGTAGCGATCTGAGGGTACGTGAACAAGATACCGGATCCGAGAGCTGTGATTAAAGAAGAAACCTAGGTCAGCCGTTTGCACGAAGGAGAATTGGGAGGGGGGTGCAAAGGGGGAAAGTAGCGGCAGCACGTTCCTCACGCAAGTATTATCTTGATCGAGTTCTTACGGTACTTCTCAGCTTCCCCTTCACCAGGCTCAAAACTACGCACAAGACAGAAGGCCAGGCGTGCTTCGAGCCCAGCTCTGGTTCGGCGCCCGCAGTGTAGCCGCACAAAAGACCACCTCCCATGTACCCACATGCGATGGGGAACTGCAACGAGTTCTACAAGGCCGCAGTAGCAAAGGGAAGTGGCTCCTGTGAGAGATCTCAATACGAACCTAGAGGATTGTAATCCAGCTTTGGCCAAGCATGGAGACACGAATTGCTTTGAATTGAAGCATCTCGCCATCAGCGTCGAATGCCGGACGTCGCGGCGACGATGGAAAAGCCGATACTGCCGCTGCTTGTTCACGTGGCAAGAAGCACGCTGGGTGCACGAATGCACTCACCACTAGCGATGAAGTTGAAAGCGAGCGGGACTCCTAGGCCGCAAAGTCAGCCAGTTGCTCTTGTTTGTAGGGCAGGAACGCCAAAGTCTGGCTGCAAGCGTGCGATGCGACGGTTTTCTAACCCTTTTGTGTGCGGTTACTAGACAGCCATTCAGTCTTGGACTGGTGTCGCAATCGCCATGCGACGTAACATCCTAGCACTCTATTCCCACACAGTTAGTGCCCTCGTTCCCACTGATCGCCCGCGGAGTCGCTGGTGTGAGCTTACAGGAAAGCGCCCAGGGTAAGGTAGATGATGGCGTTGGACGCTGGTTGTGACGGGATGCCCATGACTACAAGTACTGTCTGCGATAGGATGAAGTCTAGAAAGATGGGTAGAAGATGCACGGAGCCACGAGGTCGGGAACATGCAGGGTTAAGACGGTTCGGCTGCCAAAAACTTTTGCTTGTTACTAACCCCCGCGCCTTGCTCGTTGCATCGCTAGCGCTGCGCGGAGGAGGGTCGCCGCTGATGTCAAGTTGATAGCAATCGCTGAAGCCGGCGCTCGTCCCCAGCCATGGACGTTTGCGTGGATTGCATGGGATGATGATGGAACTATAGACATTGGCTCGCTGCTGCTACTCGTGACAAGGTACACAAAGCCCCACGTGAAAGCCCAACAAGAACGCCCGTTGCTCCGTACCGCAGGAAATGCGGCAATCTGATATCAAGTGTTGGTAGCCGCCCTCTGCAGTAGTCGGGTCAGGCGTGTCTACCACGCGTGTCTGTCCCAGTTGGGATCTGCTGCATGTTAGTCGTCGTCGTCGTCGTCGTCACTGCCGTCGCAGCGCTGGATGGCTACTGACCCTGCACAAAGGCAGCCAGCACCTTGCTGCCCGTCTGCAGCAACGGATGGCCCACGACAATCTGGAGGAAGCGCTGGAGCCCTTCGCGTCGGTGCTCAATGACATCGTCCGAGAAGCGGTTGGTGAGCACCTTGCCCGGCAGCGGTGGTATTGTAACGCGCGCCGACTCGCGCTCGAGGATGTCGCGGAAAGCCTCAAACTCGCTGTAGCGACGGCGTACCGTCGACGACTTGAGCTTGAAGGCGGGGATGTTGGTGCGCATAACGATTTCGTACGTCGTGTACATGCCACGGCCGACACCTAGGCAGCGCATCAGCCCCCGCTCGCGCGCTCAACATGTGCCGTCTACTCACCGTGTGTCATGGGGTTTCGGACCTGTGCACGCGACAATTGTGAGCAGGGCGGCGGGACAGCATCGGGGCATCGCAGCTTCTGGCAAGCCTACCTCGATCTCCAGGAAGTTCTCGGGGGGCCCATAGAGCTCCTCGAAGCTTTGCGATCGCGCGTCTGGCAGCGACTGCATGGTGCAAGGTGTGTGGTGCGCGTGTAGGCGGCGGTGTAGCTGGCCGAGGGCTGGTCGCGCGAGAGGCAATGGCGGGGCTGTCGCTGCTAGCATCGCCTCCTCAGCCACATCACGCTCCACCAAGTCATCCAAATCGCGACATCGAGTTTTGATATATATTTATATAGCGTGATGCCTTAGGTGCTCCAAAGTGTGTCTGATTTCTGGTTTGCTCAAGAAAGCTGTTACTTAGACTGTCCTTTTCCTTTTTGCCAACGACGTCATTGTTACTCCATATTAGAACTACCTAGCTGCTGCGCTCGAGCTCCGGTAGAATACCAAACTTCCTGATCGCTTTTAGCATTGTCAGAGCAACAATACCATTGCCATATTGGAGACCATTATCTGCACGGTCCACAACCACAACAATGCCTGAGATTATTCTCTCGATCAACGCAGGATCCTCTAGCGTCAAGATATCCGTCTACAAGACTCCAGAAGATGGCTCCTCGGTACCGAAACAACTCGCTGAAGCTACCGTCGAAGGACTTACCGCGCCGCCCTCGAAGCTAAAGTACGAGCGCGGAGACGAGAAGATCAATGGTCAAGAACTGGAGCATGTCACTTCACAAGAAGACGGATTCCGCTACATATTGGACCACCTGACCAACGACCAAGGTCTTCCCGAGCTCAACCGAAAAGAAGACATACATTTCACATGCCATCGCGTAGTGCATGGCGGAGACTACCCCAGAAGCCAGGTCATTGACAAAGAAACATACCACCACATTGAACAACTCTCGGATCTAGCACCTCTCCATAATGCACCCGCTCTCACCATCGTCCGAGCCGTGGCAGACATCCTCCCTCACGCGAAAAACATTGCCTACTTTGACTCATCCTTCCACAATACGCTCCCAGACTACATATGCACCTACCCAATCGACCAAACCGTTGCCCACAAGAACAAGCTGCGCAAGTACGGGTTTCATGGCATAAGCTACTCCTTCATCGCGAAGGCGGTAGCAACACACTTGAGCAAGCCGCTCGAACAAACCAACATCATCGCCCTGCATCTCGGATCCGGCGCTTCGGCATGCTGCATCAAAGGTGGAAAGTCGCTCGACACGACAATGGGTCTGACGCCCCTAGCTGGCTTACCAGGTGCTACGCGCTCGGGCTCCATTGACCCTTCTCTCATGTTCCACTACACGCATAGCGCTGGCAAACCGTCGCACAGTTCTAGCGAAAAACTGCACATTACGCAAGCCGAAGAGATTCTGAACAAAAAGAGCGGATGGAAGAGTTTGACTGGTACTACGGATTTCGGGAAGATTAGTTCTTCAGAGAGAAAAGAGGACAAGCTTGCGTTTGACATCTTTGTTGATCGCATTTTGAATTATGTCGCACCGTACTTTGCCAAATTGGATGGTGAGGTCGATGCGCTTGTCTTTGCCGGGGGTATTGGTGAGAAGGGAGGGAAGTTGAGGCAGGCCGTAGTGAATGGAGTCAGGTGCCTAGGTTTCGCTCTCGATGAGGAGAAGAATGCGGAGCAGGTCGAGCATGTGGTTACAGATATCAGTGTTCGCGATGCGAGGTACAAGACATTAGTCGTGCAAACAGATGAGCAGTTAGAGATGGCGAGAGGAGTTTTGGGTGATAAGGACAAGCATGGAAAGGATTAGCTATCCAGAGAAACTGTGGAGCTGTTCCTCTATTCTTGATGCTGGGCTGGTAGTCTATAGCCTGCGATGAATGTCTTGGTGCCTTGTATAAGTATATGTCACTGAGTATCGCTCCCAAGTGCTGTGATGTGTTCCGTTTACCCAAACGCCACCCATGCTCCGATCCAATCCCCTGTCAAACACCATGCAAATGCACTAGGAAAACGCGAATTCTGGGGGCAGGTCTCCCGGGGTCTGAGCCGTGCTGTTCTTGCGAGATGACGAGGCGGTTCGCGATTACGACTGGGAAGCAGACTATACTTGACCAATGGGCGCTCCAAAGTTCAAAGGGGGGCTTTTGAGCCTGACGCCGTCGACAAGTTTGGTGGCGCACGGATTGCGCGATGCGGCCGATGCCTTGTGACTCAATGGCAAGTCCTCTTGGGCGTTCTCGGCGGGTGCGGGGGGAGCTGCAGGGTCGGGGGCACCCTTGAGTTTGCTGAACCTGTCCTGGTCCTTGGCAACCTTTTCGAGTACATCGTCCAGCACTTCGAGTGCTATGTGGTCGCTTGCACCATCGACGGGATTGGTAGGCAGCATCAGTGGGCCTATCAAGGGCTGGTCTTCTGGCGGTGTGCCCGCTTGCTCTTCCTGGGCAGGCGGCTCTTGCACAGCGGGCTGCTCGTCTTGCACTGGCGAAAGGGCGCGTGGAATCAGCGGAGTGTGGCCGGCAAAGCGCTTGTTGGCTTCGGGCAACGGGGAGAGGAGAGCGTGGGTCGGAGGCGGAGAGGGGAGGACTTGGTCGTCGACATCAGCCGGGGGCAGAGAGATGCGCGTGGGCATGCCCGGCCGTCTGTGTCGCCTCTGGAGCAGGCTCTGCAACGAGGCGCCATTGGAGTCGAGGGTGCCCAGCTGGGCGCCGGTCACCATGTTGTCGAGGCCCTGCAACTTGTCCGTCACCATCTCGGCGGGCGGAGTGGTAGTGTCGGGTGCCGTGAAGAGGATGTCAGGGCGGACATGCATCCTGCAAAGGCCAGCCCAGACGGTCTGGGTGTGAGCGTCGGCGTATGGCCTGCAGAGGTGAAGATACCGAGTCAGTCTATGTCGTGCATGCACTTGGTATAGTCCATCTCTCACATGGTCAGGGTGCATCAACTCTCCAAGGCGAACCTACTGCACACTGCGGGCTCGTGGGCAGCGTCGGGTGGTGAAGAGACGAGCCAAAGCGGGATGCGTCGGAGTGGAGGGCGTAAGACTGGGCGGTGGGAAGCGGCTGGCAGCAACGGCGTGGGTGAGATGTTGCTCACATCAAGGGGACGCAGCCAGCGCACATGCAGCGACGCGGCACGCGGCTACGGTGAGAGGGAACCCGCCCACGTCATAGCCGCCGGTTCCTGGCTGCATACGTCGCCCCCACCCATTGCAGCGCCGTGTGTTTTCCAAGGTTCTTTCTCCTGCAGCGCTCGCTTCTGGTTTCACGCTTTGTTTCTTAGTCTGCCAGAATCTCCAAGCCACCCGCCTTCGCGCTCGGCTGCCATGAGCGGGTGCCCGTGACCCGCGCCGTCTCGCGCCATCTCGCGACATCATCGTCTCGACCGATACCGCGCGCGCACCTCTTTGGTCGACCTCGTAACCCTTTTGAACATCGCTACCCTTGGCGACATGGAACACGCCTACACGTGAGAGCTCATTGGCAGCATAGGCCCTGGCTCCGATCGAGACCTAGATCCTGCTCTTCTCTCCCGCCTTGGACGCGAAGAGGGGTAATGTGTTGCTGAATGCACTCTCGAGTTAGCCTCCGTGAACACAACAGCTGCCTACTCGGTCCTGAATCTTGCAGCCGTCTCTGTCTGCCCGATAGACCCCATTCCGGCGTCTTCCGCTTCAGTTGCACATCGCCCCTTCTCAATTTGCATGGCTGGTAATCGCTACGCCCCCACTGCGCCAGGCCATGGATGCATTCCCGTACATCTCTCCGCAACTCAAGTACTCAGGCTTGACCAGGAAAGAAAGAGGAGGGCCGGCAACAAGGGAAAAGCCTGCTACCATGGACCAGGCTAATTCACCAGGTACCAATTCGGCACAAGCAGACCCCATCAACACAGCTCGGGAACACGACTCCATGAACAATCGCAGCTACGCGATTCCATTCCCCGGTAGCATGAACTCATCCGAAGATGACCTTCCACCATTTCCGGATGCCGAGGTTTCCTCACTGGCACTGGACAATAAGCCCGGTGCACGTTTGCACTACACGTACTACCCTGCATCCAAACCTCACGGCGGCCATCCGAACCCTTTCTCGCAAACGCTCATCGTTTTCCTCAACGGGCTCATGATGCCAAGAAGCTCATGGGATCCTGCCGTGCGCAGCTTTCTGGAAAAGAGAATAGTGGGGCGTCTACCGTATCCTGCTCTGTTGAGCTACGATAGATATGGTCAAGGAGATTCAGATGCTGATCCCGACGACCAGCAACCACCCCCGTCCCACGGACACGACGCGATATCTGCAGTCAAAGCACTGAAGCAATTTACCCTACAAATCTGGAGGGAACACCTTGACGTCAACAAACCTACGCACTACCCCTGTCTCATCTTTGTATGCAACAGCATCGGCTGCGCACTTGCAAGACTCTTTGCGCAATGCTATCCTGGAACCGTATCTGGCCTGTTGTTCCTGGACAGCATCATGGCCAACTCGGACTACCAAGACCTGTGGCCGGACCCCGATGCACCAGACTTCAACTCGCACACACTACCCGAAGGTGTCACACAAGACGAAGTACGAGCTACCAGAGAAAAGTATAGAAGGATGTTCCATCCCGACGTTCCTAGTCAAGAGGGGTTATCCAGACGTAATCTGCCACAACTATTACCCTACGCAGATGCACCAAAACTCGAGGGCTACTTGGGCAGAGGCCCGTACCTCACAGTCGTAGGTCATGACTGGGAAACTTTTGCCGAGCAGTCGTGTACGTACCTGTCTCTTTCCAAGTCGACGCTTGGACTACAGAGACTAACCCGGCAAATAGACGAGGGTACAATGCAGACACCCAAGATTCTGACCATGACTTATGCCAACCCCGCTTGGCGTCGCTACAACGAAGGTCTCTGTCGCATCACGGACGAAGGCAAAGCCATAGGTCCCATCACAGCTGTCCGCTGTGGCCACTTTATCCAACAAGACGACCCCAGATTCGTGAGCGATGAGATGGTCAGCCTGCTCGATAGAGTCGTAAATCGAGTTCAGCAGGTTAGCCAGCGGGACTAAAGTGTGAGTATCTCTTGGAGCCAGAGTAAACCAAACAGGGCTGTATAAAGGGTCCGTAGATATTGTCGTGTACATGAAATGCCTAGTGTCTAACAAACAAGATTGCGTAAGGATCGAAAGGTCGCGCGTATATACAAGGATGTGGTATCCAATCTCAGAAGTCGTCCATATCTCCCATGAAATTGTCCTCGGTTGCGTCAACAGCCTTGTGCCCCGCACTCGTGCTGTTGCTGTGGTCTTCTTCTTCTTCTTCAGCTTCAGCCTCGGCCTCGTTGTTGTCTCTTTGCTCGAGCAGCTTCCTCTTCTCCTCGTCAGCCAAGCCCGCCTTGTTCGCAGCCTGCATCCTCACGCTCAATGGTCGGTTCTGCATATAGCTCTCCATGTAGCTGGCTCCCAGACTACTCGGATATCCGTAACTGCCCGCTTGATCCACATCGTCAACACCACTCCCGTGTAAGCCGCCGACGTAAGTATCGAAATTCGTGTCGTCGTCTGCGAGGTCGTCAATTTCGAGTTCAGCACTCGTAGCTGGTGCGGTCGAGTAGATGGGGTCTGGGCCTGCGGTGTCCGGGATCGTTTGCGTGATGTGTTGGTGCAGAGCGGGCGAAGGGTCGAGGAATGTGGGTGTCGCGGTCTGTGTAGGGCCCAAAGGTATGCTGGGGGACCGTGGGGAGGCAACTGGGGGGATGTGGGCGGCGGCGACGGATATGGGTGTCGGGGCTTCGGAGAGGAGCTTGGAAGCCGAGTTGATGGCGTTGGTCATGGGGAGAGGTAGGCTGTGGTGCACGGCGTCAGGGCGTTGGACATGGACTGGCGGGTCCGGGGTGGTGAGTCGCGGATCTATCATGTCGTCGAGCGAAGCGGTCGAGGTGGAAGCCGATGTTGCGACGCTGCTGGGCGAAGCCAGAGGTGGTTCGGCGACGGTGTCTGCGGGAAGGACGGTCTGGCCATGGATGACCAGACTGACTCTCTTCCGGCGCGATCGAGGCGTGTCCTTGTGCCGCAGCGCAGACTTCTTGGCTGGCAGCTTCAGCTGGGCTGGCTCTCGCAGCGCCATGGCCGCGGTGTCTCGGGCGTCGCTCGTAGGCTTCGGGTCGTCTCGGGCGTGCTCAGCATGTCCTGCGGCTGGCGTCTTCTTCTTTTCGGGCGAGCTGTCGCGCGCATCGAGCAAGGGAAGGAAGACGGGCGTGACGAGTCCATAGAGCTCGCGCTCCCGCTTGTGCACGCGCGTGTGCTTCTTGAGCCGCATCCTGTCGTCGGGCGCCGGGTCGAGCGGTGCAGCAGGGCCCGGGGCAGGCCCTGGGCAGCTCTGCTCTGGCACTGCAGGCGCAGGCTGCTGGCCGCCTGCCATGTCGCGGTACCGGTCTGCAAGCTAGGCCCAAATCAGTCTCTCACGGCACGCAGAGAAGGGGCCGGGACGCCTACCTCGTGGCCATGTCTGCGCAGCTCGGCCTGCTTGGCCGCGATGTAGTCCCGGATGTCGGCCTCGAGTTGCTGCCTCCTCAGCTCGACGCTGCGGGCCAGGGCGTCCAATTGCTCTCTGGTGCAGCCTGGGACCTCGGCCAGGCCCGCATCGGCGGTGAGAAGCATCGACTGCAATTCCGCGTTGGGCATGTGCCGGGCTGGCGTCGGTCGCCTTCGCGTGCTGGTAGAGGGCGGAGAGGTCAGTCGTCGCGTACCTGGTGTCGGGAGCGCCGCATTCGGGGGCTGACGGGCGGTTGGCCGGCGCCCAGCGTCGCAAAGCTTGATCGCCTCCGCCGCCGGTCATGAGGGGCAGCGCTCAGGGTGCCGCCCTCGCACGCTTTCGACCCGCCCAGCTTCCCACACACGCCTTGCCCTTTCAGGCAGCGCTCCGTGGGGGCTCTCCCATGCACAACACACGTACATGTACATCCGCTCCGGCATGTGCCAAGCCACCCTGCTGACCGACAGGATAGTGCATCAGGAACTGTCGGGAGCTGCCATTGCTGTCTGCTCGCCTTGCTACGAAAGCCATACAGGATGCAACCTTTCCAGGAAGCCGGCGTCTACGTTTACAAAGCTTCGCCAAAAGTCCATCTCATACACCCTGCGCGTCTGCGTAGCCCACGTCACCCCTTCACTGAGCCTCCGACACTCGTCTGCGTCCTTGCCCATGACCAGGATCAGATCCCTGGCAACTCTCACCTGGTTTCCCCATATCCGTCTGTATTGCTCCATCATGTCACTCACGATCTTGTGCGTGTTCCACTCACTGAGTGGCGAGTCCTTAGGCATGTATCTCCAAGCCCAGTACCTGCCGCGATCGTCTGCGAATGTCTCATTCCCACTAGCTTGCATTGGGTAAAAGTGCGGAGCAGACCACAGTCGCAGCGCCGAAAACCTGGCAGAGCCATGCTGAGCCGCGAACTTGTTTGCCGCCTTGACTATGTAGTCGCGATTCAAGGGTGTAGGATCCGCCAAGACAGCCTTGAATTTAGGTCTGGATTGGGCTCGGAAATCAAGGTAGAAATCTAGCGCGCGGTTGGGTTCGGCGGCGGCAGTTGCAACACCTTTAACTTGGGGTGTGTAAGCACTTTGTATGATGCCGGCTTTGTACAAGGTCATAACCACGGTACGTATCCTTTTACGCCATTCTATCGGGTAAATATCGTAGACAGGATCAAGCTTGCTTCGCTGATTGCGTCTCAGGAGCTCATCTCGATCTGTCCACAACTCTGCTGGCATATATGGATTGCTGACATGGCTTCTTCGATCAGGGGTTCGCTTAGCTCTTTCTTCTTGGTCAAACAGCAGGGAAGACCGGAATGGTAGGCCGTGCTCGGAAGCAAGAAACTCTTCCGTCTGGTAGAATAAGGCGATGGCGGCGTAAGCCTGGAAAGCCTCGTCAACGATTCGACGTTCACTTTGGATGAGAGGTGCCATGTGCATGAACTTGCAGAGCTCGAACGGGCCTGTGTTGATGTCGCTCATGACAAACTTGTCCATGGCCGTTACCATGGACTTGTGCTCCATATACCGGCCGAGGCCACCGGGCTCCAGGTCGCCCATGTGCAATGCCTCTTTCTCAACTAGAATGCAACTGTTAGTTGGTGTCACTCTAAGCGATGATAAACTCACCCCTGTGTATTGACCGTTGCCCATGGCTCCCGCACAGCTCTCGAATGAGATGTTTCCCTTGGATATCGTATTCTCGCTGACGGCGTAGAGCCGTTCTTAGCGTGTCCATAAGCTTCGAAGGAGAATCCCTGAGTTCGCTTGGTATCACAGAAGCACGTTTACGGTCAAACATAGGTAAGAAATGATCGTAACCCAGTGACCTGTCCGCCCATTGAAACTGTGGGATCAGCGTTCCATGATTACCGAATGCGTCGAGTTCTCTCTTCGAAGGGAGCTTGTCAATCGCTTTTCCGGCCAGAACACTAACATGAGGGTCGTTCGCCAACATGCGCCGCAATAACACTGCTCTTGGATCGTTCATTTTCTGCGATCCCTCGTCGGATTTAGCTTCGGATGCATCGTCTGAAGCAAATGACTCTTCATCAGAAGCAGATGACTCTTCATCAGTGCTGGCATCGCTGGCAATTTTCCACCACTTCCACTTTGTCCTCCGGTGTATCTTCCCAACAATCTCTCGGGGGAAGGGTGGCTGCGACTTGTCGCCAGGTGCGCGCGTTGGATATAAAAGGGCATCCTCTATTTCGTCGATCTCTGTGAAGAATCGCTCCTTGTATATCTCATCAATCGGGATGGGGAAAGCTTCTGCGCCAAGCTCGAAGTCATCGAGCATGCTAGGAACATTCTCTCCAGGCCGAATGCTGCGAACACGTCTATTCTCACGATCATTTGTGATATGTTGCACTATGTGCCGAACTCTGACAAGCATGTCTTTTCCCTTCCTACATTTGTGGGTACGTAAAAATGCCTGTCATTGTTAGCTCCTTCAAAGTAGATATCTTGACACTTTACGGACCTCTTGTATTTTGCCCTGTAGCTCATCTGCACTCCGACCGGGCGGTGCATCCCAGATATAAACATTATAATAATCGTTGAAGTTCAACGACCAAGCCCTGCAGGCGGTGGCCTGTTCGAAAAAGGCGTTATCGACCTCAACTGTGACGGTGTATTCATGTTTTGTAGACCTGCCACGTCCGGCCTTCTCGCGGCTCAGCCAAAACTCCTCCTTTGGTGGTTGGATTACGAATTTGCCAGTCACCGGATCATGAACCAAAACACGAAGGTCGGCCGACTCCATTGCTAGGCACTCAAGGAATCGACGATTGAGGGTATCGTCACGCTTGACGATACCGCAGAGGATGTTGCGTGATTCCTTAAAATCGAACGACCGTCCCGAACTAGCACGACCACTAATCCTATGTTGCGTCGTTTTAGCTTCGGCGCCGTCGACTTGGAAATAAGGTATGAAACCGAGAAGCAGGAGGCATTGACGATTCACATCGCCCACAAACTTCGTCCACTTTGGAGCCGGGAACAACCGATACATTGACAGTATCGTGAGCTCGAAGAACTCTTCCCAGTTTCGACAAAGCGCAACGGCATCGGCGAGCTCGGAGTCTTTCGCGATGATAGAGAAGTGAAACCAGCCGCTGCGGTTGAGAGCGCGCTCGTTACGGTAGTAGTACATATGGCGGCCACAGACCCTGATCTGGATTCGCTGTTGGGCGTCGATAATGTCCATCAGGGCGAGGTCTTTGGCAATGTCTTTTGGTGCATCAGCCCCATCCCTTTCACGCATGAAGTCCGCACACGCGTCTCGCATGTTCTCAAGACTGGGACGCTCCAGCTTGAGGCAAACATCTCGTAAATGTTCCCTTGTCACACCTTCGCTTTGCAGGAGTTCCTCTATGCTGCCGGCCTGGAGTGCGATAGGCAGGAGTGCACTTGATGCCAAAAGAAGTCGACAGAAGAGAAAGTTCTTGATCTCACAAATCTCATCCAAGAGCGTCTCGATCTCGTCGTGAGGAACTACGGGAGTCGTCGTCCTTGGGCTTAAAAACTCAGGAAGATATTGGCCTGGCGCGCGCTCGAAGTTGACAGGCGTCTGAAGTCTCCTGCGCATCTGTTCCTTGGTCTCCATTATGATGGACTTCTTGCCCGTCGCGGCTTGTCCGGTGGCTTGGTGCGAAGATGTCGGTGCGGCAGGGCCATCAAGCTGAGATGCCTCCACACCTGCGCAATAGTCTTCATGTTCCTGCTCACTGATCATCAGAAACATATTGATGAGCTCGACATAGCGACCTCTTTCGTAGCCATAAATATCTTGAATGGGGTCCCACTGCTCTTCCCATTCCTCTTCCTCTTCCCTTGACATCGTCTGGGCGCGCTCTGCATATACTTGGTTCAAGTACTGTTCTTCGCGCCTCTTGATCTCTCTAGATCGCATGTCCCGTTGACGACGATCGAGTTCCTTTTCGTATCTTTTAAAGAGCTGAAACTCCAGCTTCACCTTCTTTGCTTCGCTCTGCGCCTGTTCCTCCTCCTTCTCCTGACATTCCCTCACCCAGTGATGCCACCGCTGCTCTTCATGAACGACTGCGGCGGCTCGTTTGCCAAGCTTCTCGAGAGCCTTCACCGTCTCGTATTTCTTGTTCTGTAGTTGGTCCAGATATACCGTGTGACCATAGTTATTGTCCATTGCAAAGAAATGGCGATGATGCAGTTTGCGCGCTCGGAGTACACGATCGAGCAGAGTGTATCTTCGAAATAGATATCTCTGTAATTCAGAGATTGCTGTTGTTTGCGTGATATCGTTGAAGTCTTGAGCGATGAGGGATCTGGTAGTGTTTGCGAGGTACGCAGGCAGCTCCAATGAGTCGAGGAGGCCATTTCGCCGCTTGTATCCCTGGTAGAGAGCTGCGTAGTGTTAGAAACGCTACGACAATAGCGACTTCTGCTTACCGTGGCATTGCCAAGCATGAAATGGGCAGAATTTGCCATCTCGGGAAGTGGCTTCCTGGCTGCACTCCGTCTGTGCATCAATGTCGGATAGCAGCCGCGCGCAGCATGTCGGGGCCATGATGGGAACGAGGAAGCCAAGCAGCACCTAGGGCACAAGATCTCTCGAGCGTGGTTGAGCATTCGGGTGCGACCATGTGGACAGTCCTGGGGAGCGCGCGGACGCTCGAGCCAAAACGCTAACCACGTGGCCCCACAGCCTGGAAAGAGCGGTGACTCGGCCTTCTGCCGACATCTGGAGCCACCACTATGATGACGGGATTGATGGTATGATTGACTCCGTGTTGTTTATGAATAATACAGCCCCCAGCAGCAGGAGTGATGGATTGATGAGCCGATGCGACTTGTCCGCGCGCAGCCCCCTCGAGGTCTAGCCGCCTTATGCGCGCTACCTAGGTAATCCCAGAGCAAGCTACACGTGCCAGTTTAGCACATGGCGCTCGCCATCGTTTGCCAGAGACTCTAGAGACGAAGCAGTAGCGCGCCCAGTCGCCTCGTCGACTACCAAATCATCTAGCTCTACATAGTTCTTGGATCCACGTGATCCACGTCCGAACACTTCCTTCACAGATTCTCCGCTGACCGATATATCTGGCGTCTTCTTGCTCAATTGTCGTGTGCTCAATCGGTTCCCCGAGCTCCCAGCGTTGGAAGGGTTCGATCTTGATTTGCTTTTACTCTGGCCCGTGTAGCCTTCCATCGCCGAGTTGAACGCCTGCCTGAAAATGACGCGAAGTACGGGAATCGAGGTAGCCACGATGGCCATGGAACACTCTGCGACGGCCCATATGATGGAGTTGTACGATTCATCTGTGGCTGTTAGCAATGATCCGTGCACGCCTTGAGATGCCTTACATGATACATCCTGGACTGTCAATTTCTCAATGTATGTGGATCTGATAATTGACGTAACTCCAGCTCTTCGACCAAGTCAGCGCAGTCTTCAATCCGGCGATGCATGAACTTACAGTATTCCCAGACTCATGGCGACACCTGCACCGATCTTCTCTGCGGTACGCATTTGCAGGTTCCAAAGGATTTTCCACGGCAGCACAGCAAGACACACATCCATAAGTGCTGACCACACTGCGTCGCATGTCAGCTAAGGAATCAGGGTACACACTTTGAGGCTGTCTGCTCACCAGCTTGGAAACGCCCATACACGACAGAGGGATGCTTGTCAATGCACTCGCCCGGTATGAGGTCCACAAAGGTTTTGGCCAGCGGTTTGCATTGTACCCATGGTATGACGGTGGCAGGGACTGCGAAAATCGCCAGGGTAGAGATCGCAAAGATTACGAAAAGTCTGACCCGTCCGTCCGTCAACCGAAGCAAAGTGAGTCCAAAGGAGATCTTGCTGAGCGCGATAGCGACGGTATATATCGTCAGTTCCGCCGCGCCGATATACATCATCTTATCAAGATTGCGCAAATCGACTAGCGTAAAGATTAGCGTTCCGAGCTGTGAAATGTGCAATTCTCCTTTGGCAACTTACGGTCAAGTGTATGTTTTCCGTAGCCTATGTTGATAGACAGTTGGTTTATGGTAACTTGGACCAGAAGTAAGATCTATGTCGTATGAGTCAGCTGCTCTTTGCTTAGGGATGTTGTGGCACTTACCCAACTGACGGAAAGTGTGCAATCGTCCAGCCACAGCTTCCCTTGACGCTGCCGAATATAAAGCCGCGAGAACAGAAAGACTGCGGAAACAGAAACGAGCGACCAGGTGACGACGGACATGAGCGGTCCATGGCTCTCGTCTGGGTTGCTAACCCAAGAATCGTAGGCAGCCATTTGGATTGGACTCAAGAATAACGCAAAGGAGAAGGAATTGAAGCGAATGCTCCTTGGCGCTATATCAAGATCCAGTTGTGGTGCTTCGTTACGATGCTGACGTGGGACAAGGATCCAGTTTATATCGAACGATGTCGAGTATACTTAGGGTTGCGGATGTAATTTGGCCACCTGGGTAGTGGCCGGTATTCACCCTTTTCCTTGGGTGGTGGGTACCCGGCTGAGATCCGTCTCCTATAACGCAAACTAGAACATTGGGGCTGTTCTGGAGTACAAACTTGGCATATGCTTGTGGGGACGCTTAGAATAGTACGTAGGTATCATTGTTCGCCGCCAATCATGCAGTGGGGTCTCTCTGCGCGAGACTTGAACTCGCATGCGACCCTACTTGGAGCCCACGCCGGGTAATGCACCGATCTTGTTGCATTGGTCCCCGAAAGTGGTTTGTTACCCATGATCGGCTTTTGTGGAAACTATAACGTCTTCAGTCCGACGTTGTCCCTGCGTTGGGCTCTGACTTGGGTAGCGAGGAATATGCCTTCAACCTCCTAGCACGTATGAACGACGGCCTAGGTAGACATCATGCCCGCTAGACCATATGCGCTGGTCTCGGATGCGTCTTGGCCCGATGTGTTATTGCCGGCGGGTTTACATGCCCAGGTGTTCACCTACGCAATCTCCATTTCCGCCGCATGGAAGTAGGGCGAGGGCGGGATGCATAGATCACTCAATCTTCTTGCAGCCTCACGCGTGTTGAAAATAGATAACCCGCTTTTGATCGATGCGGGCAACGTTCATCATCTCTGTACAACGTTGGTCAGCCAAATGCGGTAAAAAAGGCGAGATCTACAGTAGCTGCCGATCTGGAGGCTTAACTACCTAGGTACCCACCCGAACACGGTCCGGCGCGCTTGGATCGCCGTTCAGGGCTCAAAAGTCTTGGGACACTCGCTCGACATTCCTACGATGTACCCAGTGCAAGCCTAACTTCTTGCCTAGGCAAGGCTCGAGCGCTTTATTCTCCTTAACACCAGTCGCGGGATTTAGCAAACCCGGTAACGGACTGAACCATATGGCTCGCGCGAGCGGATTACGGCTGGTCAAGGCGTGCGGAGAGAACGCCCACGTCGATCTCTTTGCTCAGGCCCTCCACCCTGCGATTTGAAGCAAGTAAAGCGGGCTGTCATGACTGTGCTGGAAGGTACCTGACCCCGGATTGGCATCTCTATCGGCGACAGTTAGATGAGAGTCATGGCGGCCCACGTATGTGCAGCACTCATTTGCCACTATGAAACTTAAACGATCCGTCCCTGTCGCTGACCGCATCTTCCTCAATCCAACTACACGTCCTTCCTTCACACTCTTTCCCGAACATCCGAGCTTGTTGTTGCAAACATGAGGGTCTCAGTACTATGCAGCGCATCGCTCTTCTCATTGGCGACCTTCGCCTTCCCTGCGAGCATGCTCAAAGGCGACATCAGTGAAGCGACCCTTGCGGAAATCACCGCTTTGACAGAGAATATCTCAAGAGATTTCGAGAGTAAGCGATCGGGTACCCACGTCAAACGTGCATTCAACGCAGAGGCTCAGCGCATCAGTATCACTGGTGACCATAAATACGTGAGTAGCCCTACCGAGATGCGCGACATGTAGTTGCATTTGCTAACGACTTCGTTGTCAGATTGCGCCAGGCCCCAATGATCTCCGTGGACCCTGTCCTGGTATCAACGTGATGGCAAACCACGGTTACCTTCCCCGAAATGGCATCTCCACAATCACACAAATGACGACGGCCGCCAATGAAGGTCTGCATGCCTTTACGCTCTTATTCACGGACTGCTAACAACGTCAGTGTTTGGCATGGGCCTGGATCTTTCCGCATTTCTGGCAGTCTACTCCGCCGTCATGGCCGGTGATCTCACCTCCTTTTCAATTGGCGGCAAACCTAAGACTGGTGGACTCCTAGGCGGTGTCACCTCATCACTCGGCCTTCTCGGAGAACCACAAGGCCTGAGTGCGTCACACAACCGCTTCGAGGTTGATGGATCTCCCACGCGGGGGGACTTGTACTCAACGTATGTCATTCCCGTTTCTTCTGCATGTTGCATGGTCAGCATAACTCATTACTCGTAGTGGCAACCCCATCTCTCTCAACTTGGACTATTTCGAGCAGCTCCTCTCTATGCCTCTCGGCGAGAACGGGATTGATATCCCCGTCTTGACCGCGTTCCGCCTTGACCGCACGAAGCACTCGATTGCTACGAATGGACATTACTTCTCAGGCCCACTCACGGCCCTTGCGCTTAACCCCGCGACATATCAATTCACCTACCGTTTCTTCGCCAACCACACTGCTAAAAACCCAGAAGGCTACCTTGATGCCGAGACACTCATGTCATTCCAGGGTGTTACTGGAGAGAAAGGTAATTACAAGTGGGCTCGTGGGCAAGAGAAGATCCCCGAGAACGTGAGTACCCACGGTAACACCATCCGCTTGCATTCGCTAACACACATCACAGTGGTACCGCCGCGTCATCGGCGACGACTACAGCATCCTGGCCTTCACTTCCGAAGCCCTTTCGCTCGAAAAAGCCCACCCCGAATTAATCCGAATCGGCGGAAACACTGGCCAGCCAAATACGTTCACTGGCGTCGATGTTGATGACTTGACAGGCAACGTTCTCAACGCGCAGACGCTTCTCGAGGGTAATAACCTAATGTGCCTTGCGTTCCAGGCTGCCAGCGAAGCTGCTCCTGACGTCCTCCGCGGATTAGTTGGCAACGTCTTGGTCGCTGTGCAAAAGTTGGCTTCTGTTCTAGACCCGATTATTGCGGAGCTTGGTTGCCCCGAGCTGATTAAGTACGATGCAACCCTGTTGAAGGCTTTTCCCGGTGCCGGAAGTGGGATGTAGAGTGCGACTCTATGTCTAGCGAACATGACAATTAGACTTTTTGCCTTCAAACCCTTCTTGTATTAATATCACGAACCTTTTGTTTACCTTACTTGTCTTTATTTCATCGCACTTCGCTAATTTGAAGCACATGTGGCACAAACTACCGTGGTACTCTTCCGCTATTCGATGCTTCTCGTGTATGCGTATATATCATGTGTCTATCGCAACGCATTAGATCTCTAGTATCTCCAACTATCAGATACTTTTCCGCGCCATCTTGGTTTCCATCTCCACAGCATCTTCTAGCGAGTTAACGGCGATGTGCCATGCTTCTTGTGGAGTGAAACGTCGTCTGAAACCGTGAAGATCACGACGAGTATAGAGGAGACGAAGAGATTGAGCCTCTGACATGGTAGACTGAACTGTGTGGGCGTGGCTGAAAAGTGTGAACACGTTAATTAGGATTGATGTACACTTGCATGAGCGCACTGTCTACTTTCTATGTGTATTACTGTAGCATATTTCCTCATATGCTTCGCAAGCCAGTCCTGTCCTCCTCAAACAGAGGACGGACTTGTCGTATAGTCTACCTTGCAACGAGGCGTGCGACTTGGTTTCTTTTCCTGTCAACGACAGCAGCTTTGCCAGCAAGTTTACTCTTCAAGCCTCATGAGAGCTGCGGTGGGTATGCCTCTGCCTTGTCATGTCGTCTTGCATTCCAAGGTGACGTATCGCTTTTATGACTGGGAAGGAATGGCCTGTTCATCCACGATACCGTCTGTTGCCCAGCACAGCCGCATGCTTGCGCCGGCTTGTTGATGTTTCCACCGTAATGCCACCCAGCAGACTCAGTCGCCGCCTTCCTCTTCTTTCCGCTTTTCTTCTGCCTCAGCCTTCTTCTTGTCCTCCCATTTCTGTTTCTTTTCCAACAGCTTCTGGAGATTCTTTGCGCCGTTAAAGACACCATACGTCTTGGCACTACACGCCGCACACGTGGGATCTTTGCGATATCTCTTCAAAGCGCAAGGCTCGCAGAAGTAGTGTCCACACTTGGTGATGATGGGGCTCTTGTAGGGCGTCTTGCAGATGATGCAGACAAACGGTATCTTTTCGAGTTGCGCCAGATCCATTCCGTCTTCGTCCTTTTCCTTCTCATCCCTGTTGGCAGAAGCGACAACGGTGCCTCCAGGTTTCTTGCCTTTGGTCGACATGTCCCACTCGCGGTCTAGCTTCCAGCCTGCCGCGTAATCTTCGCGCGCGTGCAAAAACTTGCAATTGTCGCCGAAGCCACAGAAACCAGTCTGCTTGTAGTCCTTGCACACATCCGGCGTGTAATCTGTAACGGTAATCGTCCGTATGTTTGTCGATGCTTTCATGGGTCCTAC